AGATTCCCATTCCTTCTGATCAAGTGAATAATCGCTTTAAACCAATTGAGGATATTTTGTATTTGATTTCTTTTCAGCCTGTTGATGCCTGTGATTCATTTTTCTTGGAAACAACACAGGCGGCAAAGGGTTTAAAGCGCTTATTTTTTAATTTCGATTTTGTAATAAATTTCATTATTAACTTTTTTTTTCTTTTTTTTTTATAGATATAAATAAGGGTGTCTGGTTTAAGAAATCCCAGATGGGAACAAATAAGCTAAATACCATGATGCCAAAAATTGCAGAACTTACCGGTATCAATCTCGACAATGGTCGTAAAATCTGTAACCATTCGCTACGTCGTACTGCGATTCAACGGTTTAAGAACTTGGACGTTCCAGAGGATGGACATATGGTGTTCTCTGGACATTGCAGTAGGGAAGAAATCAGGGCCTATAATAGTCCAAATGATGAACAGAGGCTTGGAAATATGTCGATGCTAATTCCTTTAGATTTCGACGATATTCCGTATGAAGAGTTTGGCTATTTTCCTGGTGACGCTCAAAATTATGTGAATTTTGAAGCAGATGACGATTATGATGAAGGTATTCTTCTTTTTTATTAAAAAAAATTTTTTTTTTTTGCAATTACAACTATTTACTATTCTAATTTCTTGAACAAGAATCATTGGAACTATCCCAAAGATTTTCATTGAAACCATCCCAAGGATCATCGTTGGAACTATCCCAAGGATTATTGTTGGAACCATCCCAAGGATCATCTTCAGAACTATCTCAAAGATCATTTTCGGAACCATCCCAAAGATCATCCTCAGAACCATTCAAAAGATCATCATTGGAACTATCCAAAAGATCATCCCAAAGACTAGCTCAAAGACTATCCTATAAATCAAAGTCTAAACTATATGCACCATTTAAACCTCCTTATAAAGTATCGAATAATCAACCTACTCATGTTCCTCCTATTATTAAAAAACCGTCACGTCTTCCCCGGCCTTCTCCAACACTATTAACCCAATCAAGTTCATCATCTCAACCAAGACCACCGTTAAACAATCTTTCAAATTGTTTTTCTTCTTTAACTTACCAAGACATTAAGGATACTAACAATAATAATAACAAAATTAAAGAAATTCATTACCATTTTCACTATCATTTTTAAATATGTATTTTTTTATTGAATAATATAATTTCTTTATTTGAATAATTAAATAAATATATGAAAAAATACTCTTTTAATAATAAATAAAAAAAAAACTCATTTCACGGCACAATATTTAATGGTAAATTAAATATTTATAACAAGGTTATTTTTGTATCAGTCTATATGAAAATCATGTGATTTTCATATAAACCGATAAAAATAACCTTGTCAAAAAACCACAGGTTGTTACATAGTACCCATGGAATAAACAGCTTAAATTAGATCTATATTATATTCTATTTATAAATATTTGTTTATATTCTAGATCTACATATTTATATTGATTTACATATTTGTTTATCAATGTTTTATATATTTACAATATTCTTTTTTCTTTTACAAATATCTTTTTAAATACTTTTATAAACACTTTTTTAAACACTTTTGTAAATATTTTTCTTAAACACAGTAGATATCACTAGGTAAGGCCTAAATGTTTTATGGTTTACGAATCATAAAATGCATTCAGACCACTGAAGTTATAAACCTTGTACTACTGACAAGGGTTGCTAAATTACTGATAAAAATCACAACCGTCTAAATATTTAGAGTTCCTGTCATATACTATTAGTTTTCTTAGTACAACTCTTGATAAAGAAACACTTTGGGTTATCTGATAGTTTTCTTTATTGTAAGGTGCTCTACATGTGAAATATCTAGTTGTTTTAGGCATTAATAAGGAATTACTGCGAGCTGCATGCTTTTACGTGATGAACTAATATTTTTTATTTATATTTTATAGATAATCCTATTACATTTTTAATACATCACGAGATTGCTATCTGGTAACAAATTTAACAGAATAGCATAAACTATATAATACCACTATAAGACTATAATATTAAAAATATATTTAAATAAATAAAAAACAACATTAGTTAACAAAAAAATATTTATTTTTTAAAAAAAATAAAAAATAAAAAACAATAATGGATGATTTAATGTGGTTTAACCTTCTATATTTTGTCCATTTCCTGATGATACTTTGTTGGTGTAATAATCTCATTATGACTTATCTCTACATTCATCAATTTATTCAAAGTTTCATAATAATATTTATTTTGTTTTATTTAATTATTTTTATTTATAATACTTTTTTTAAATTAATTTTTTATAATAATAAATATATAAAATATTCCAGTTTATTTTTATTATTATTTATTTATTATAAAATTTATTATCAATATGTTGGATTTGACCGAAATATTTTATATTTTATATCAACAATATATTAAGTAAAATTTGGTGTAGAAAATACTAGAAGATTTTTATACATATAACATTAAATGTATTAAAATAATTTGTTAAAAAAATAAAAAAAAATATATATATAAAATTTATAATTATAAATTAAAATATTCTAAATGTCGTATATGATTGTAAACCATTAAAAACTAACAAAATTTTTTGATCTACTATTTTTTTATAATAATGTTTAAAAATTTTCTGCTCGATGATTATAGATTTTATTTGTTGCTTAATAAAAGTCATTAATGTTAAATCATTTGGAATAAAATTTAACAAATAATCCAAAAATTTATTAAAATAATCAAATAATATAGTTCGAATTCCTTTAGTAAAATTTTCACCACTTAACATTTTATAATACTCAACTTCACATACCAAATTTGCATTAACATTTTGAAAACTTTTAATTTCAGTTTTTTGTTCATGAATAAGATTTTTACAACATTTAGAAGCTTCTAATGTTCTGTTTACTAAATTAATAAGATCTTCTAAAGTTTGATCATTTGAAGATGATTGGTTTTCAAGATTTTGAATAAACTGTTCAAGCTCATCAATATTTTCAGATATTTTAAATAATAAATAAATAAATTATAAATAAACCCTTTATTTGTTTTTTTTTAATAAAACTAAAATAATATTTATTAATTTAAATTAAAAATTCAAAAAAATACAATAAAATTCTATTTCTATTTATAGGTTAATTATTTAAATAAAATCAAAGTTATAAAAGATACACATGAAGTACGCAGAAGGCTAATTTCTTTGTGAAATTTCCAAAAACAATACTAAAATAAAAAATATAAATAAAATACCTTCTTTCATTATTAAAAAAATTAAAAAACTTTTTTACAAATCTATTAAAGATAATAAATATCTTCAGAATAGCATCTTCAAACATCCCTTGCTTCAAATATCTAAAGTTTTTTAAGCCTGAATTTCATACAAAAATTGCTGGCTTATTAAAAGAAGGTCCTGCTCTGAAAGAAGTTATTACTCTCATGTTACAAAATCCAGACAAAGAAAAAGAAATCTTGACTAAATTTAAAGTCAAGGCTATGAAAAACGATAAAGTCAAAACATTTGACTTTGAAAATGAATCTGATAGTAATGACGGATATAGATAGTCTACCGAAGAAAATGAAAAATAGTTTAATGTAAAGAAATTAATGTTTTTTATTGGGCAAAATTTTAAACATTATCGCTTAATATAAATAGTTTTTATTATTGTAATATAAATTAATTTAAATAAAAGTATAAATTATATTTAATTAAATAAAAAATAATTTAACCAAATATAAAAATATAAAAATATATATACATGTCTATGAAATTTCCTGATTTATTCATGATAACAACCAACAAATTTATTATAAAATTTGATGTTCAAATCTTCACGATTTAATCATTTTCAAAACAAAACTACAAATAAAATTTCAAAACAAGCATGACTTCAAAATTCTTTTTTATTATTACTCTTTTAGTCCTTTTAGAACTATTTCTTACAAACCTTTTTGATGGTGAATATCAAATTAATATTTATCAAACAATTCTTAAATTCATATATTCAGATTATTTTTGGTGGATATGTGTAATCTTTATTAATATAGTAACTACAATTTTTATAGTTACTCTTTATCAATTTTGGTTCTGGAATATATTATTAGAAACATTTCCAGAAAAATTTATTTTATAAACACTTATCATCTGACACTTCAGATAATTATAAATAGTGAATTTTTTATATTTTTTAAAATTTATGTCATTCAAGAAAAACTGATGAAAAAAATTTAGAACAACCTGCACCAAATACACCAAACCCAAATCTCATTCAAGAATTCAGTTCAGATTATTTAATAAAATAATCTCTTTACTTTGCTATCAGATGTCTATTAGCAAAAGAAATAACACAATCCACATTTATACTATTTTAACTGATGGATGTGCTTCAATATCTTGTTTAACTATTTATTTATTAAATCTATTAGCCTTGAATATTTTAATAATATTTTAACCAAAAAGACAAAAATATTTTTTATTATTAAAAACAATTACAAGAAATAGTACAATTACAAAAATTGTTATATTTAAATAAAACCTTTCAGAACAAACTATAAAGTTGGATGCAAACAGAAAAGAAGGAATATTCTATATATTATTTTTATTTTATAAAATATAAATAGAAATAGATTAAACAAATATAAATACTATTTATAAATAAAAATTTTATTGTAAAGATTTAATAAATGCATCAAATAAATTGTTGCTGTTTTTCTGCACTATATAAATTTTTGTAAATGTTTTTCTACCAGATATTTATTACAGTCTCTACTGATAATATTTTGCTTTATACCGCCCCATAACCCCTCAATATGATTGGTGTGCACTCCAGTTCCTCTTTTAATTCTATTTCTTGAATGATTAACTCATCGATGTTTCATGTTCAATGTTTCAAGATGCAAATATCCATGCCACTTGTCAGTATAAATGATTGATCTTTCTTTTACATGTTGCTTAATGATTCTTTTCAATGTTTTAGCTTCTCGATTGTCAACAACAACAAAGAAACATTTTCTTTTTTTGGTATACTCAATACCACCCACAACCCAAAAATCTTCATACTTTTTGAATTTCGATTCATCAATTTCACAGATAATGTTTTTTCCACCGATAATAAAATCTTCTGCAGTTAGAGTTTTGATAGCAAGTTCTCTGAATAAATTTATAAATTTTATAATAGATTTTGATAAATTTTTCACCATTATGCTTATAGACATATAATTCAATTTACAAAGCCAAAAATATCTAATAAGCATCACTTCATATTTTAAATTACAATTCTCAAAAATGGTGTTTTTAAAAATAGTCGTAAATATTTGACATTCTAAATATTTGTAATTCTTTTTGCAACGAATAATTTTAAAATTACATGAATCACAAGTAGTTTGGTTTTTAAAATTTGTTTTTCAAACAAAAATTCAATACATTTATCTTCATTGAAAAAATCTCTTGTAAACTTTTAAGATCCATTATTTAATCAATAAAATATGAAGTTATATTTATATATTTTTGACTGATTAATAATAAAACAATTAAACAGAAATATTTCATTTTTTCAATTCTAAATTCACATTATGATATAAACTTTTTAATATTTCATTACTCAAAAAACTAAGAGGATTTTCTTGTTTTTTTGGTTTTGGAGATGTTTTTTTATTTTTTGTTTGTTGTTTGTTTGTTTGTTTGTTTGAAGGTTTTTTCTTTGGATCTTTATGATATTTTTTGATATAATCAAAAGCATCTGATATTTCTTTAAATTTTTCTAAATATTCTTTTCTTGTTTTTTCACTCAACCAAAATGTTCTATCCAGATGATATTTCAAACTTAATTTTTTAAATTGTCATCTGATTTCTTCAAGAGTATCAGTTTTTTTAATATTTAAAATTTTATAATATTTCAACATTTTTACATTTTTTTAAAAAAAGTCTTTATTTAAATAATTTTATAAATCAAGATAATTATCAATAACATCATATAATTTTTGTTTCAAATCATTTAAAAGAATTTTATCTTTTTGAATTTCAGCCTGTGTTCTTTCTAAAAAATCATTATCAAAATTATTTTCTTCAATGCTTCTATAAAATCCAAAATATGTATAATACATAATACGTCTTCTTTGTAATAATAATTTATAATCAACAATTAAATTTGAATTAATAATTGCATTATCAATATCTCCATTAGGATTTAAAATTCTTAATATAAAATTTTAGTAAGTTGTTGTTTCAATTTGTCTATTAATATCAACAAATTCTTCAGAATATTCTTCAGGTTGCTCTGGTTCATGCAGTGGTTGTTGTGGTTGTGAAATTTTATCTAAATATGGCTCAACTTTTTGAATAAAATTATAAAGAAATGCTAAATTTGCATCAATATCTTTACTCAACACCATATGTTTATTAACCAACATCTTGAAATAACATTTATCACATTCATCTTTTTTTGCAATCCCATAATTTATAAAGAAAAGAAAAAATATAAAAATATTCAAATTCATCTTTTTTTAAAAAATTTTAATAACTTCTTTATTTATAGAAATAAATTATTTAAAACAAGAAACAAAAAAATCTTATTGGTCAGAAAAATTTGAAAACTATGAAGTTCTTTCAGCATGGAATAAAATACCAATTACCAAACCACAATACAAATCAAATAAATATAGAATTGTTGAAATCAATACAACATTATTTATTGAAATAAAAGCAACAAATTCAAAAAAAACATTTTTAACTGATTTAAAATATTTTGATTTAATTAAAAATTATTCATGGAGTATTCATAAAATTAAAAATATTTATTATGTTAAAACAAAAATTAAAAAATATTAGATTTCATAAATTGATTTATCCAGAATGGACTATAATAGACCATATTTCAAGAATAGGTCTTGATAATAGAAATTATAATTTACGAAAAACATCTACAAAAGAAAATGCTTTAAATTGTAGATCACGAAAAAATAATACTTCAGGCTTAAATGGAATTTGTTTTTTTAAAACAAAAAAAAAATAGATTTTTTCTTGGTATAAAAACAAAAAACCTAAAACAAAATGGTTTAAAACAAAACAAGAAGCGATAAAATTTAAATTAAAAATTGATCAAATTACAGGGAATAAAAATGGACAAGAAGTAAAATATTTGTAGAAATAAAATATTTATAATAATTTATTAAATTTTATAAATAAAATTATTCTGTTTTGTAATCAAATTTGAATTGATATTCGTAATTGTAATTTTTACCAAACCGCTGAATCTTTCAATATAAAAATCTCTATTATTAATAATACAATATAAATTTTTAATAATAACCTTAACAAAATCTATCTCAACATAATCACAAAAAACATGATTTGTTGATTTCTTTTCTTCATAAATTTCTTTAATCAAATTTTGACATTGCTTAATCAAATATTCTTCTTTATCACAAAATGAACATGAATTATATTTTTTGCTAATTCTATTTAATTCATAAAATTTTTCTTGTATAAATATTAAAAAATCTTGATAAACGTGTTAACTATAATATTTAGAATTAAACTTATAATTACAATAATCTATTAATATATTTAATTGAAAACAAATTCGTTTAACATTATAGTTTTTTTGTCCAAAATTATGTTTACAATCGCACAACTTTTTTATATTTTTAATAAAAATTGATTTGTAAGTTTTATATTTTATAGCTCGAACACTCAGTCTTTCAAATTCAAGATGATCAATAAGTTCTTTCCAAAAAATATGCTGATCCAAAATTTGCCTCTATTCTTTACAAACCATAGAAACATTATAAAATTCAAAAGGATCATCAATATAATTGAAAACCAATATGATTAGATGAATTTTTTCAATATTTTGTTTTTTGTTAACAAAAAATTTGATTTGATTAAATTTTTGTTTCATCTTTATATAAATAAAAAATATTACTATGTTGATTGTGCTTTAAGCTTTCAGCCTGCACGATCAACAACATCATCCACATATATGGCTGATATTCTTCTATCCTAATTGTAATGATCTGGCTGCTGCCTAGCACACTTTTAAAAAGTGTCAAATTTTTTTTTAGCAGCAACTTAGCTAGAATATGTTGTGACGCCTCAATGGCATAAATTTTTCATAATAAATCACGAAAAATTAATGCTTATCTCATTTCACAACATATCTCGCAAAGTTGGATGAAGAAAATAAATAAAAAATATTTTTTTAAATAATTAAAAAAAAATCAGATAATTAATAAACACTTTATTAAAATAAATAAATTAAAAAATAATAATAAGAAATTTACAAATATTTAGAAAAATCATTTTTAGGGTTGTTGATTGAATCTTTCCACATTGAAGCTACCAATTTGAATGCTGAATTATGAACTAATTCTGGGTTGTTTTTTTTAATAATAGGAAGATTAAATTTCATAAAACTATTATAAGGAGATAATTTTTTTCTTTTAGCCATATTGATTGTTGCATCTCTTTTTGATAATTTATTAGAAATTTTATTTTCAATTACACCTTTATGACCAAATATATGTGTGAAATAGACTTTACCAATTCTTTTAGTTATTAAAAAATCTAATTTCCCAAATAGATCCTTATTTTTTACAACCTCATTACATGATGTTTTTCAATTATTTTTCTTCCAGTTATTGATCCAAAATTCACATGCGTTAACCACATTTCTGCTATCTGTTCTGATTTCAATAATTTTGTCTTGACTTTTATATGTTTTAATTGCACAAAGCACCGCATAAATTTCTGCACGATTATTATCTTGTAAGGAACCTGGTAATGGTTCAGTTATTTGTCTGCTTTCATCTTCATAATAAATACCAATTTCTGCATAATAACCTTTTTCATTATTTTTACATAAACTATCGGTATAAATGACTATTTTTTCATCTGAATTTAAAATTTCATTTTTTCTTTTATTTTTTAACTGAAAAGTATTAAAAATTTGATATGCTTGACTTAATGTTAAATATTTCTTATAGTATGCAAATGAAAAACTGTTTACTTGTTCTTTACATTTTTCCAAAGTGTCATAAACACCTGGAATATGACTAATTAGAACAGTGTAATAATATTTATTAAAAGTTTTAGGCATTATTATAAATAACTAAAAGTAGTGCCATGGCGAACCAGATCATTACAATTAGGATAGAAGGATATCAGCCATATATGTGAATAACAAATGAAAGTTAGTAAAATGAATGAAATTAAGAAAATTTCAAATATAATACAAGCAGGAGATCGCTTCTTTCACCTAATTGATTGAAATTAGAGAAGAATTGTAAAGAGAGAAAGAAAGAGAAGAAGGGTTTATATAATAAAATAAAGCTAAGCCACTCGAATAAAATAAAAATTATTTAGTGAAATTTACTGAATAAACAATAAAAAATAGATAAAAAATAAAGAAAATATTTTAATAATGCTAAAAATAATCTAAGCTCTTTATGTTAAATGAAACTTAATTTGAAATGTTGCATTCACATAAATCAAATCGACAATTGTTTTTGTAAGAAACAGAGTTGATATCAATTTCTGAATATAATAATTCCAACAAATATTTGGAATCACCATAAAGAATATTATTTTTAAAAAAATAGAAATTAAAATTCTTGATAATAGATCTATGTTTTTTGTCGAATAAAACATTGATATCAAAAGAAACCTTACTCATCTTTGTTCAGATACATTATTGGTCTTCGAAAGTTTGTATTCTTATTTTCTCGATACCATGTCAATTTTTCATTTTCTTTAAAGGCAACAAAAAGTGCAGCTTTATGAAAGTTTTTGTTTAACTTTTTAGATTTAACTTGAGACATTATATTAAATAAAAATGTGATTATTCGGTGAATATCACTGAATAATCGATATAAAAATGAAGAAAAATTATCTGCCATGAATAAAAACAATATTAAAAATGAATGTAAAATTTGTGAATTATCAAAAATTCGATAACAACCTGATTAGCAGTATCAATGAATATGCTGAAATTATTAAATTTTTCAACAAATTTGAGAAATCAACTTTATTTTACAAAAAGATCTTTGAACATTTGTTCAATCTGAAAAAACTTGTTGAATATATCACAAAAAAATTTAATAATTATATATTTGAAAATGAAAATTTCAAGTATAAAATGAAAATAGAAATAATCGAAATAAATAAAGAAATAATTTTTTTAGCAGTAATTAAGACAGTAAAAAATAAAAATAAAAATAAAATTGGATATGTTGTTGAACATATTTATTCAAATTAATAAAAAAAATTAATATATTAAAATTCTCTTTGCTGATGATTCATAACAATTGTAACATAACATGTGCGAATGTTGAAAAATGTGAAAATTATTTGTAGTTAAAGGTGTTGATGCAATAACAGGATACGTTAAAATATCACAAAAATAATCACAAATTGAATATAATTCAGTAGAAAACTCCATGTTTCTGCACTTATCACATCACCTTTTATCTAAATTTTCTATAGCCCCAATATATTTCAGAAATATCAAACATAACTGAAAAGAATTTGGCTAATAACAATAATATCTTTTTTGTCGTTGTGTCTTGAATAATCTTTTCCTGACAACTTTTTTAATACAAGTAATATTCTTTAATCTATAGCTGGTGCATACCTCTTTATGATCACAATCAATCTGAAGTTTCTTGCAATTCTCGCAACAACTATATTTCTTGTCAAATATTACATATTTATGTTTTTTGGTTTTTAAAATCTTGTTAAATAAATAAGTCAGGGGAGATTCTCCATTTTTTATAGGAAATTCAGTTAACGGTGATAAAAAATAATAATAACACAGATTGAATTTTAGGTTATTGTAAATTGGCCACAAAATTGCTTTGGAGAAAAGACCGAAAAAAATATTGTTCTTTTCTCTTTTTAAAGTGATAAAAATCATTCAAAGAATCTCAACTGGAAGTAATAAAATATTAATTTTGAGTTCTGCTATATTTTGTTTTTTTCTAACTAAAGGTTCGATTTGTTTGTTGGCTTTTTGTTTCATTTTTAAAATAAATTAATCAAATAAAATCTAATCGGTATTAAAAAATACAGATTAGAAATTGAATAAATTAATTACTTTTTTTTTGAAAAAAAATCTGTAATTTGTTTATTTTTTTTACAAGGATTAGAAGGTTGTTTATTATGTTTTTGGGTGTTATTATTTCTACAGAAACTGATTCTTTTTGTAGTACTGAAATTACTTCAGACAAACTACTTTGCGGTAAAAAATTTGATGTGACAAAGAAATTTGTAAGCAAAGTTTGCTTGTCTTTTCATCGGTGTCATAGATTTCTTTAATAATTTCAAGTACCTTCTTTTTATCACAATTTAATAGAGCAGTATATATATCTTGCAAACTATTGAAATAATATAAAATATCCAATTTCTTGTCTGAGGTATATTCTGAAGCCAAGCACATTTTTTAACCAATTTTAATTTTTTTCTTTTCCTGATGGTTCAGAATAAAATATTCAAAATGACCTGGAACAAGTTTTTTACCATTTTTGTCATAATTCTCAGCAAAATTAAGAACTATAGAATTACCTTTTTTAGAATCAATTGGTTGGTTACCTTTTGTCAACCCATAAAAATCACAAATCGTTATTCTTCTGAAGATAGGATCATATTTTGTAGTCAACTTGAATAATTCCAGATCTAATTTTTTCACTAGATTAATATACTTGTAAATTATATTTCTAGCTATCATATTTGGTAATATTTTAATATCTATCAATCACTTTTCTTCATTAAATCCTAAACCGCTCCATACTAATTCTTTAGAAATGGTCTTGTAGAATAAAGATACATTTCGTTTTACAAGCTTTAATCCTTTCACTAATAATTCTGAATTTTCTAATTTTGGTTTATACTCATAAACACAACCAACGTAATGTTTCTTATGAAAAAATATCGAGAGATACAGAGTTTTTTCATACATCTGTCACATATACGAAAAGCCTATTCCTTTCTTTAAAAATTCATTCATTTCAACTTCTATCATTTTTGCATATTCAATAGATTTCTTGATCATCATCTCAGTATGAAGCTTTTTATCATAAGAGTATAATTTATCTATTTTAACAAAAAGTTCTTCCGGTATTAAGAAAAATTTTGAATTGATATTGGTATAAACTACTGTATATTTTTTTAATTCTAAAAAACAAATACCAAGTCTCAAACAAAACCGTAAAAATGCTGTGACCATTGCAGCAACTGGCTTTCAATATAATGATGAATAAATATAACCAGTTTTTCCATATGTAGAATTTGCTAATAGCTTCAAAGCATTTGATTTTGCTGTATAATAAGCTAACTTTATAGAATCATTCTTATAAAGTTTCATAAATTTTTTTGCCTCAGCACGACTTTCTAACAGTTTTTTACATATAAGAGGCATCAATCCTATCTTTTTTTCTGATTATAATGTTTCTTGAATTTTGTGAAAATTTGCTCAGTATGATATATTATATTGGAAGGTTCATCAAATATTGGTAGTAATTCAGTCTCAAGAGAAATATTTATTGTTATTATTGAACTTGAATATATAGAAGTAAAATCTAAATTTGGAACTGGGCGATCATTTAGATTTTCTTTTGGAGTAAGTACCAGTCCTCCTAAATATGGAACACCTACTTCAACAACTCCTTTATGATTTGTTGATAATAAGATGCCACATTTTGCCACTTTGCATCCATATAAATTATATACCATAGTACCAACCACATTAGTGAATATATTTGAAATGTACACACTTGAAATTTTTGCTAACTCTGTATAATCTTGAATGATATTTCTTTTCAACATCAATTCCTGACATCTGATCGAATCAATAGAACAATAGTATGCTATATCCACAGCATAATGTTCAAGCTGTTCTTCATTGACAACAAAGTGTGCTATGCATTTATCATAATTAATTTTATTATTCAAAGAGACAAGTTGTGAAGTAAAATCTTTTTAATTTTTCATAATCATTCTTGTATAGTATAGCATTAAAAAATATAAATATGGAATTGAGATTTGATGATTTTTCAGGAACATATGGAAGATCGATCTTGCCTTCCAATTCATATTTTTTTAACACATGGTCGAGCATGTGTTTAATGTCTGTAGGGAATGCCTTTTTTGCCCAAACTATCAAATCTAAAAAAATCGTTCCTGATATATAATAATATTCACAAATCATTTTTTCATTAGGATTAACTTTTATCGTTTTATTGTTCAAATTGAATCCTGCAAACTCCTATTTTTTCATAGCATTCTCAAGATCTCGCGGAACAACCCTAATTTCTGTTTCTTGAATGTTAACTTTTATATCTTTAGTTGTGCCCAAAAGAACTTTGTTAAATTCTTTTTCTATATTATGTTGTTTAACTTTCTTTAAAATAAAATTCCAATCGTAATCATCTGTATTATAGCCTGTCTCAAAATCAGGTTTGTATCTATTAAATATTTTGGCAAATCTTAACAACAAATCAACTTCCAAAGTACAATGAATGAAATGAAAATTTTCTTTTGGAATTGATTTATATTTAGAAAAAAATAATTCTTCATTGATCAGTAATGTTGTCAAACAATGTCTTTTAATTGGATACAAAGAATCAATCTAGTAAACATCCATCTGGATCATGTAAACAAAAGAAGTTTTCTTATGTTTATAAGGAAAATAACCAGGCCTACATGGATCTCCTGTTTCAATATCCCAAGATAAATTTAATAACTTTGGTAATTCTATTTTATTTTCAACTTTTTCTATATCTAATAATGTTAGAAACATATTATCTAATAGAAATTTATCAGAAATCAATCGATACTATCCAACTAGCTCAAAATTATTTTCACGTGCCACCTTTTGATAATAGCAGGTGAGATCATCAGAATATGTATTATATAATTTCTACCAATTATCAATCTCTTGTATTTTTTCTAGTACATATTTTCTTTCTTTAAGATTTGAGAAATACAAACAAATAAAATTAAAATTTGAACCAGAATCAAATGGTTGTATATCATGCAATATTTCATAATAATAGAAGTTGATCTTGTTCAAATAGAATTCAAAATTCTTTTTTTCAAGCTTGATATCAAAAAATGGATCCCCAACTTTAAAATTGAGAGAAATCTTGGTTCCATCCTCTTTTACCGCATTGATAAGTAAGATGTATTTCTTGTTTTTGGTAAATGAATCAGTTGCATTAAATATGAAAAAAAGTTTTAATTCTGGATTTTCAACAATTAAATCTTGGCATGTTGTATTCATTTTTTTAAAAAAATTACATGAATAAAATGCTAATTAGTACAAAATGTACTAACTAGTATAACAAAAAAAATATGAAAATAAAAATTAAAGAAATTATTGCATAATGTTAATTTTGTGAATAGAAGATGAGTTAACTTCAGCAAAATCAATTGCCTTTTTAAAATAATTGAATGCCTTTTTCTCATCTTGATTAATAAAATTAATTGCTTTCGTTAACTTTTCAAATAAATTTTTATCAAAAAAAGAAACTTCAGCTTTTCTATCAAATTCACATATCTTGTATCTATCAAAAAATTGTTTAGATGTACAAAGAAAGATATTTGCTTTGATTTCTTCATTTAAATCGATTTTATATATAAATGAATCGATTCAGTTTGAAATTTTTGCATCTCTAAAAGAAAATGATACCATAAAATGAAAATTATTAAAAGTTTCAAAAGAAAATTCAATTACAATTTTATCTTCTTGTTCATTATAGAATAAATTCATTAAATAAAGAAAATTCTAATCAGTTAATTAAACTGATTAGAAAAATAGAATAGAAAAAATAATAGAAGAAAAAACTAAAAAAATAAAATAAAAAATATGAATTAATTATTATTAACAAGAATAAAATTTAAAATATTTTTATATTCATCCATGCTACAATCGGATGAAATAATGATCTTGTTGGAGTACATTTTGTCAATCTTGCTTTCATATAAATCATAAACTTTACAAAGATATTCTTCATCAACCATTTTATAATCTTGTTCTTCTAATCGATATTTGTTTTGTTGTTCTAACATTACTTCTTTAGGTGGTTTAATATAAAAAACCGTAAAGATATTATTGATTGGTTCAATTTTTGCCCTTTTATCCTCAAAATATTTTAAAATTTCAACATCTTTGATGTTTGCTTTAGTGAAAACTTCTGTGTTCAAATATGTCCTATCGAGAATTATGTAAGCATAATCTGTTAATTCTTTTAATTCTTTTACTTGCTCTTTATAAAAATCAAGAATCTTGCTCTGAAAAAATAATGCACGATTCTCGACATCCTTATAAAAAAGTTTAAGTTCTGGTAAAAGATTAAGTGACACTTTCTCAAATTTCTTAACTGAAAAATTTTGCTGTTCCAATTGGTCGAATAAAATATTTGCCATCATAGTTTTTCTAACACCCATAGTACTAGTGAAAATGAAAATTTTTGGTAACTTTTTTTGTTTTTTTGTATTAAAAATTTTGTACTCTTCTAAATTCTCTTCAAAAATCTTATACTTTAAACTTGTTTTTAAAGGAATTTCTTTTTTATTAACAAAGTTGTTTAAAAGTTTTGTTAATTCACGCTTTAAAATTATTTTAGAAGATTCTTTATAAGTTTCTTTCCTACTAACAATGTTGTCAATGAAATTTTTTAAATCATTCTTTGTTTTTTGAATAGAAGTTTCTTTATCATTGATAATGTTTATGAGTTTTTTTAAATCACTTTTAATATTTACTAAATATTCATTAATTCACTTATTTATTTTTAAATTTTAATAAATAAAATTATATAAACAAATATTTAACAGGTACCAATTAGTACTTGTTAAGAAAATTATTTAATATGGTTTATATCGAGAAGAATTAATAATAATCTTTTTAATAAAAACATTTCTACATTTAATTTCATCTATCTCAAATGTTTCTGCATAAAAATCAACTAATTCTAATTGAGGGGTATTGTTTTCAATAGTTTTAATATATTCTTTAAAATCCATTCTCTCGTTTTTGATGTTACATAATTTTTACTCTTCATTTGTTTACTATTATAAACAATAATTCCTAGTATATCAAGAAATCGAGAAATTGATGATTCAAAATTTTTCACCATCGAAAAAAAAATAGATGATTCGAGATTTTTGCATTGTATTAATATAATTTGTTGTTTATAAGTAGCAATAATATCAATTTCACCATCTCCCTGAGCTCATTAGCCAAAATACTAGAAGAATTTAAAATCTTTCGAATAACTAGTTCAAATTCATGACCTCGCCAATAATTTGAAATCTAAATTAAGAAAAATAATTTGCAAAAGATTCTTATTTATTCCATGGGTAGAAGTGACAATTTACACTTACGTGCCTAGCATTAATAAAAATCATCCTCAAGTATAAGATACTATTCAGAATGATCTTCTAATACATATAGAACAGCATCACTTCAGAATCATAAAAATGCTAAGTAAATAGTATAAAACTACTTACTTTTTTTTATTATCCATTTAGCACAACAACCAATTACACTAATAAATTGCATCAATAAAAAAATCTGCTTGGTGTATAAACACTAAGCAAAAAAAATATTTAATATATAAAAAAAATAAAGAATAAAAACTAAATATAAAAAATTTTATTAAAAATCATATGAATAATATCCATTCAAAAAATGACTTTCATCAACTTCACATTGATTGATAAAGAAATTATGCAGTTTAACAATATTTGATTCACATTAATTATCAATATTTTGGATATATTTTTCATAATTTTTTATATACCAATATATTGTTTCGATATTATCTTGTATCATCGGAATAAATTCTTCTTTCTCAAGTATCTTCTGCACTTGATTTTATTATAAAACTTCCAATTGGTATGCTTATCTTTTTCAAGATTTATCAAAGATTGGTCAAACAGATAAATAAATAATTCCAATGTTACTTTATAAAAAGCTTCAATTCGATCACATGGATTTGCAATATATTCTTCTCTGCTAGGACAAGTATATTTCCAAATCTTTAATAATTTTGAATCATCAATTGCGATTCTTCCTTCTTCAAATATTTCTCATTTAAAAGCTTCTAGATTATTTTCTCCAATTTTTCCTTTTTTTCCCAATGCATCATATTTTAGATAGAAGCATTTGGTTGAGTCTATTCTTTGAGCTAAGTTTAAAAATATTTTTTTTGTTTCTGGGTCTGTTCGAAATATTATACATTGATTGATATATCATTGTGGTAATTTATAATTGAATTCAATAGGTTGCGAAATGAAAATTATTAGTTATTAAAATAATACAAATTGAAAAATAAAAATCTTCCATTTTTAAAAATATTGTAATAAACAAGTTATACCAATAAAAAAATCTACTTGGTGTACAAACACTAAACAGAAAATATATTTAATACAAAAAAAATAAAAATAAATAAATAAATATAAATTAAAATAAAATCCATTCTTCTAGGCTACTACTTGAATCAACAATCCTATTAACCTATCTCTGAACCTCATTTACTAAAGATTTAGTCTCTTGTTTCAAATTTGTTTGTGCTATTTTACGTTTCTTTGATGTTCTACTTATACTTCTAAATTTTTTATTAATCACTTTATTAATAGTTGGAAGAAATAATAAAATTGAATCTGTCATTTGATATTTACTAAGCTTTTTAAAATCAATTTGAATCCATTCATTATTTTTATCAGGTTCTGTTCTAACAGGAATTTGATCTCCAATAAATGAATAATATATAGCACATCTAAACAAACATTCTTGTCTATCCGGAAAAATCTAAACCCCTAATGCATAGCAATAAAAACTAAATCTTTGATTTCTAATTTAGCCTCTTCCTTAGCTTCATGTTTCACATATTCTTCAAAATTTTCACCAAGTTTATTTCTTCCGGTTGGTACTTGCCGATAATCTTTTGTTGGATTATTTCTTTTACTGATCCAAGTTTTCTTTTCATCAGTTAATGGTATAACTATGGAAAAATCACGTCTTTCAATTTCATACTTATTAATTATTTCTTTATAATTTTTTTTAAGATTTGCTTGCACTTTAAGTTGTGTATTAATAGATTCTCTCGTCTCATCTACCGAAATACCAAGCCCTTGAATTATATTCAAAATAGCTAATGCATTATGTAATTTCTCCTCTATAGTACAAGTATAACTATAATTGGAGATAGCGAAATTATATTCAACTTCAGCTTCAGACATTTTAAAGAAAATTATATAAATAAAAATCTACCCAGTATAATATATACAAAGTAAAGAAAGAATAATAAAATAAATAAAATAAATAACAAAAAATAACAAGAATGAAAAGAAAAATATAAAATATTGACTAAATAACTAAATGATCTGAATTACTGCTATCATCCATTGATAATTCATTATCTGACCAAAAAATTTTGTTATTATTTACATAACCAACTTGTAATGGAGTATAAGAATATTTTTGAATTACAAAATCAAATATTCCTTCATTCTGTGAAGAAGTTGCTTGTTCTTTCTCAACAATATATTCATCATTTATTATCGTAATAGAAGATTAACTTGATTTTTCTTCATTTTCTATTTCTTTGAAATCCTTATCTTCATATAATTTATTATTACAAGAAATACAGTAGTTGCTTGAAAATAATGAATTACATTTCTCACAAAATTGCATTTGTTGTTGAGATTGCTTATTTAAACGTATTAATATTTCCTCCTTCTCGCAAAAAGTACAAAAATCATTTGGTTTTGGTAAATAACAATTTTCACAATTTTCGTAAAATGATAATTTTTTTCCTTCAACACTTGCATCATAATAATTTTGCTCCATATTCTCTTGTAACAATTTATTGTTAATATTGTCTAATATAATTGAAAAAGAAGAAGTGTTTACTATTCATTTTGTTTCATACCAATATTTTCTTCGATATTTTCTTTTAAAATTATATTTTGGTTTATTTTTTTGTTGTCTTATTTGCAAGCTACGTCGTATAAGAATCAATTGATCAATTCTGTATAACAATTTAACTTTTTAAATTGATTTAGATTATTTTGAAGTTTCATCTTGAATTACATAAATAAAATTCTATTTGGTCAAAAGACTAAATAGTTAAAATAAAATAAATAAATAAAAATAAATATAAAAATAATAAAAAATAACAAATAAATAATAATAAAAAAATCATTCTTCTTTAAATTTCTTTAAAATTTTATCTAACCTAATAATATCAAATTCTACTCCCTTTTTTGAACCTGAAAAAACAGTATCTTTTCATTCAATAATTTCTTCAAAGAACTCATGATCTCTATCTTTTGGTAATTTTCTATCAACCAATATAAATATAGTTTTTCTTGCTTCATAATAAAGTAATAAATCTTTCATAAATTTCATGCGTTCACCAATATTAGGAAATGCTTCAGCAAAAGCATTATTATTAACAGTATTATTTAATTCCCAATTCTTTAATTTAATAATATCTTTATAATCTTTTTTGTAAATCTTTCTTTTTTGTATTTTTTTTTTTTGTTATTTTTGAAGCCCCTTCTTCAACTTCAGAGTTTATCAATTCTTTTGGTGAAGAATTTTCTTCATCCTTTTCAACTTCAGAAATACTTCGTTTATTAAGTTTTTTCAACATTTTGATTGAATGAAAATTAAATTTATAATTACATAAATAAAATTCTAATCAGTATATTAGATTATTGTTTATTTAATAAATATAAAATAAAAAATACTAAGAAAATCAAAGAATATTTTAAAATAAATTTAGTATTTGTTGTTAATGATTTCTTACGAATAATAGAAAAAATCTTTTTAATAACATCAAAAGAATCAATATTTGTTGTATCAATTATTGTAGAAATTTTTTTTGCTTGCTCAAGTTGTTTAAAAGAAAAATAATCATGATAAAGAATATCTGTGAAAATATTCTTAATATCTGTTGAATTAATTTGAAGTGAATGATGTTGAACTCTAATATCAATATCAGCAGATAAAACAATTTTAACCTCAGTATCAGATAAAATATTAAAAGTCACATCTCTTCCAACAACTACAAATTCTTTTCCTTTTGTAATTTGATGTATGTATTGATTAATAATTTGACGTGCTTCTTGATTTTTTGATATTTTTGCACCTTCCTTCCCACTCAAATAATAATCTTCATTACCAAGTGAATTGATTAATTCAGTTATTGATTTGAATAACTCATCATCTTCTGTTACATTCTTTTTAAAGATTTTAATTGTTTTTGAATTATTTTCTGTGTCCAAATATTGATAAGATAAATATCCCAAATAATGATAAAATATTCCAGAATCAATAAATCGATACTTTAAACTGTTTGCTAAAGCAGATCCAATAGTTGTTTTATCCACAGCTGTTGGTCCATCAATCACAATATTAATTTTTTTCATTGTTGAACTATAAAAAATCTAATTGGTCAAAAAACTAATTAGAAACAAAAAGAAACAAAAAATACATGAAAAATATAAAAATATAAATAAATAAAAAAATAAATAACCAATGAGTAAATAAAGATTATAAAAATATAAATAACAAAAAATAAAAAATAACCTAAAATGAAAAAAAATAAATTCATTCACATTCTTTTTTAATAATTGGTAAAACATATTTATCATTCAAATAATTTGCTAAAATGTATAATTCTTTTACGTGTTTTAAAGAATTTATTTCTGAAAGTTCCTCGAATAATTTATATTCTTTTAACAAAAAAAAATATTTTTCTTTAAATAAACGTGCTGCATTTAGATTATATTTTGAAAATATAAAAATATAATCTTCATGATATTGACGAATACTAAAGAACAACATTTATGTAATTAAAATTCTGATTGGTATTAAATACTAATCAAAAATAATTTATTATTAAAATTAAAAAATGAATAAATATTATATAGTTATTGCATACGAAGTATGCAATAACTGCTGTATTTTATGGACGATGATGATTGGTTGGTAACC